GGTGTGCTCAAGGTAAAGGTTAACATACCATATAGACCTTAGGACGTGACTTTCTGCAATAACCCATCTGTTGGGAGTATTTTTTGATCAGAACATCCCATGTGGTTACTTTCAGTTAGTGAGTTTGTCAGACTTGCCAACTAGTTATATTCTTGCTCATATTTCTTCTCATCATACCTCCCTCTTGAGTCTCTCCTAGCCCCACGCTCCACCCTTCCGCATTTTGCAGAAATTCTGCAGCCATTGGTTCACTGCACCCAGAAGGTGAAGACCCCTCCTGGAACAAAGTATAGAAGCCACGTCTCCCAGACGCCCCTCTCTCAGACCCAGAAGTCCACACCCATCCTGCTTAGGACCCACAGTCAAGGGACCAGCTCCCTCCTAATTCTGGACCCCAAAGTCTAGACCACCATGAAGGTCCTTCCGTTTGACATTTTGGAGTCCAGGTAGCCCCTCATATTCTTCTTCACAGTGGAGAACGTGGGGTTCATCTCAGAAAGGCAATGTGACTCGCCAGGCAGCAGCACAGCAGGATTCAGGTACCTGCCCTGCTGACTCTCATTTCTCAGAAAACACGGAGAGGCTGTGAAAAGCCACCCAGGGCCTCATGAGCTATACTGAGGACCGGGTTATATGCTGTGACTTGGGCAGGGACACCCACTTTTCCAACGTCAATGCTGAAGCTGGCATTGTCCTCAACGAACACTCATCAAGCTCATTTCCTGGTGTGAAAATGAACTTGGCCACAGAAATGGAGAGATTGGTCGGATGATCCACGTGACATCCATATAGTGAGCGCCCCCTGGCCCCCAGCCCTGTGGGAGGAGGAGAGGCCTTCAGCTACTGGCGAGTCGTTGCCCCAAATCGATTCCCCACACACTGAAAATCTCCTGACCTCCACAGGGTGCAGCCCTGACATCCTGGAGAAGTAGGGGTGTGGCCTAGGGAGGCCTACCATGTCATACATAGTAAAGTTCACTGGCCCTAGCTGGTTAGGCTCAGTGGATAGAGCCTCGGCCTGTGGACTGAAGGGTCCCAGGTTCAATTCCAGTCAAGAGCACATGCTTGGGTTGCAGGCTTGATCCCCAGTAGAGGGCATGCAGGAGGCAGCCGATCCATGATTCTTTCTCATCAATGAGGTTTTTATCCCTCTCTCCCTCTCCCTTCCTCTTTGAAATCAATAAAAATATATTTTAAAAAATAAAGTCCACTGTATCAAGTCCTCCCCCCGTGACCCCGCCAAAAAAAACTGTTGTGAAGATGAAATGAGATGTGAGCATATAACTTCTGGCTTATAAAGGTGCCAGATAAGTGTTTTTCCCCTCAATTCTATAGCTCACAGGCTAAAAAGAAAGGTAAATACACTTTCAGCCGTTAATTCAACATTTACTGACGAGGATCTGACAGACCCCAGGAACTGTACTGTATGAGTCCCTATCTTTTTTTAAAATATATATATATTTTATTGATTTTTTTACAGAGAGAAAGGGAGAGGGATAGAGAGTTAGAAACATCGATAAGAGAGAAACATCGATCAGCTGCCTCCTGCACACTCCCTACTGGGGATGTGCCCACAATCCAGGTACATGCCCTTGACCGGAATCGAACCTGGGACCCTTCAGTCCACAGGCTGATGCTCTATCCGCTGAGCCACACCGGTTAGAGCTATGAGTCCCTATCTTAATGCAGCCGCATGCAAGGTGGGGGAAATAGACAAGGAACAAATGCATAGAAAACAAAACATGACACAGGGTTGAAACAGGAATTTTAGGGGTAAATAGACAGGTTTAGGAAATTTTTGAAATGAAGGGGACCATGGAGGAAGCACAGGGCTTCAGAGCAGCAGCAGGTATATTTCTATAAAATACGGGAAGCTGAAAAGCTGCAACGGGCACATTTCCATAGAATGAGAGAGCTGGGAACAGCAAATACTTGCAAAATAAAGTGAAGGAAGCCCTTCATCCAGAAGGAGAAGAAGAAAGCCCAAAGGAAAGAGGAAAATAGGGAAGGAGTTGGGGGAGAACCTCACATGTCCCACGTGGGCCAGGAGTTACTATAGTAACCAGTCTAAGGGAATAGTGACCATCAGAGGGGATATCAAGGCACCAGGATTTGCAGTCTTTATAAGCCATAGGGAAAAGGAACTCAGTGGGACCCTTCGCCCCTCCCCACTTGGGAGTCCATTCTGTGGGACTCTTTCTCTCTCCCCACTTGGGTGTCTACATATTCTTCAATAAATCTCCACCTTTGCTATACCACTTTCTCTCCGTGCATTCATTCTTTGATTCTGGCAGACAAAAAATCAAGTTCCAGTCCAAAAATTCCATTTCAGAGTTAAGTGCTATAATGGAATATCACGGATGGTAAGAAGAGCTACCCCTGGAGAAAGGGAAAGATTTGTTGGTTAATTTGGATTCCACATTCTAATTGCATTAGAGTTGGAATTGATGGTTTGGGATCAAATTCTAGACTAGCTCTGAAATCAGGACATGACCTCGAGGTCTACCTAAAAAGACTCTGGCAGCAGGGGCAACAACAACACAGAAACTTTAAACCGGAAAGGAAACCTGCAGGTGACATGAGATGAAGGGACTCCATGGAGCATTAACTCACCAGCTCAGCAACCACATCAAAGACACTGCCCATCACTATCCCTTTGTCTCCGTTTGTCCATCCACAGAGCTATGGCTCTATCCCACAGCCACTTCCCTCCCTTCCCGAATTTACACCCAGAAGGGACCCTGTCTAACAGAGTCAAGAAGAACTCTTCTTCTGTCTCACTTTGGGAAGAGGAGAGCAGTTCCCTGATGTAACCCAGGGGTCTTCCCCTGCCTCCTCATTGGCCAACATTGTGTCACATGTTTATTTATAAACCAATCCCTGGACAGCAGACAACCCCCCCCTACCCCACTCCCACCCCCATTGGTGCAGTAAAGCTCATTTGTGGTCACTTGAGCACAGCAGGTTGTCCAAACGAAATTAAGGTTCTGACAAGTGGCAGAAGGAGTGCATGCTGGGTAGGCAACAACAGTGTCTGTGATGGGTCAACTTGGGGGACCGAGGTAGAATTGGATTAAAGATCTGAATTGAGATAACAAGTGGGCTCACACTAAGGAATGAAGCATATTTGAGGTCTGAGTTAGAAGTGAGGGTCAATTCCACTGTTAGGAGTCAGCCGTCTAGTAGGAATCTGACAATGATTCCTGTGTTACTCAATGCAAATACCAAAGTCCTACCTCGGTCTTCAATCCCCGTGTCTTCCAAATCCTCTGAGGCCTCTGAACCCATCGCCCACCCTTGTCCCTCTGATTCATTCAGCTCCAACAAAAAAGTCTTCCCTGTTAGAACATTCTAGGTCTCCCTCCTCTTCTCACCTGCCCGTCACTCTGCCCAGGACTCACTCTTCCCAAGTAGCTACATGAATCCATCTACCATCTCCTACAAGATTTTGTGGGAATGTCCTCTTCACTTGGGGTCTTGCCAACCACCTTTCCCAACATTATAACTGCAGGGGTCACTGAGATCAAAGGGAACCAATACCCCCCTAGGCCTCCTCTGGTCTTATTTTTCTCCATAGCACTCACTGCCATGTAAAAAAAAAAAACACCCTATAAATGTGAAGTTCTTATTTCTTTACTTAAGTCTCCACCCACTGGAATGTGAGGCATTGTGTTGGAATTTCACTGTTTTGTGGAATGTGTGCCCTCAGAGGCCAGAACAGATTCTGGCTCACAGTCACTGCTCATCAGTAGATACTTCAGGAATGAATACAATGAGCAAAGATGAAAGTGCAAAGAAATTAATCCCACCGTGACCCTGAGTGGGGGTGGAGAAAGGCTTAGAAAAGACAGACAGAGAATGAAAGCTGGGTCTCGGTGGGCCGCTGCCCCTCTGATGGACAGAGACAGCGCCCACAAGCCGTGTCTTTATTTTATAGCAGATGCCACGAGGCAAAGTAGGGGCATAATCAAGTTGTTTACAGCATTCTCATGAGTTTCAACCTCACTTAACTACATGCACCCGAACTCTATCACAAGGCACGTGGGGCTACGTGTTTGGATCATAGGTTCAAGCTCATAACCAGAGCCGTTGGCTATGATTGTGCTGGGAGGGCCCTGCCCTCCAGCTGGGACTTGCACGTGGCAATGAGAGAACCCTGTCCTTTCATTAGTCTGAGGCCTGACCCTGGCCAAAACACCGTCACCGCGCCCCACAAGAGGGACACATCGATTGGTTGCCTCTTGCACCAGCCCCGATCAGGGCCCAGGCGGGGGAGGAACTTAAAACCAAGGTATATACCCTTTACCGGAATCAAACCCAGGACCCTTTGGTCTGCTGGCCAAAGCGTTATCCACTGAGCGGCTAGGGCTTCTAAAGACTTTTTATAGAGTAAATAAAATGTCCCATTACATAATGTTCAGACTTTTTGGTTAGAAGTTCATACAATGTATAGAAATCAAAGTATAATAAGTGAAAACAGTACATATTTAGTAGGTGGAGTTAGGAAAGCCTTCCTTTAGATCCATACCCCAATATTAGGGTTGGGTTCAGGCTCAAAGACACATCTGGGATTCAGCCTGACAAGGGGCAGGAGGGCAGGCCCGTGGCTGTGACCCACGAGGTCCCAGATGGCACCCTCCCGGCCCAGAAGCCGGGCTCCGCTCTGGGTTTAAAGAATAAAAGAAACCAGCTCCATAGAATTAAAATGGGGAGGGACAGAAAGCCTGATCATTAGGTGCTCTGCATCGTAGGCTGACTCTGGCATGGACTTGTGGGTCTAGAGGGAGCAGGTGGGTGCAGACTGGGGCTTCTGGGTCTGAGGGAGGAGGTGGGTGCAGACTTGGGCTCCTGAGTCTGAGCAGGCGGGTGGAGGCTCCTGGATCTGAGCAAAGGGAAAGGACCTGGAGACCAGGAGTCCTGGTTCCTGAACTCTCTGTCTCTCCAGCCCCAGCACAGAAGGCCCATCCTCGGTGGCAGCCACAGAGGCTCAGACAGGACACATGGCAGGTCCCTGGCTCCCACCAATGCTGCTCCTACTGCTGTCCTTCGCCCTGGGATCTGCTGGACAAGCAGGTGAGGACCAGCCTGGGAGTCCTGACCTTGTCCTGGGCTTCACAGTCCCGCACCAACCCTCTCCAGGCCCCCTTTCTCCAAAGAACCCTTGAGTCAGGATCCTCCCCTGCAGCAGCCTCCTCCCATGGAGACCCGCCCCCTGGGTTGTGGCCCCTTTCTTCCTGCTCCCTCCTGACTCCTGGGCTCTGGGTGCCCTCCAGGCTGCTTCCCGCCCTCAGTGTCTCTCTCATCAGAAGCTGGGGTGGCCTCCAGATCAGCTCCTGCCCTGAGTTTTTGAGGCACCTCCTTCCATCTCTCTCCATCTCCCTCTCCAGCTGTGTCTGCCCTGGTCTCCGTGTCTGCCTCTGCCCTTCTCCACGCCTCTCTGTCTGTCTCTCTCTCCATCACTGTCTCCGGGCATCCATCTACTGTGGCCTCAGCCTTCCCCTCAGGCCTGCTACCCACGCTTTTTCCAGATCTCCATCCAGCCCAGGATACCGGGGAGAGGATCATTAATGGAGTTCCATGTTCAAGAGGCTCCCATCCCTGGCAGGTGGCCCTGTATGACAACGATGAGTTCCAATGTGCAGGCGTGCTGGTCAACCAGCAGTGGGTGCTCACCGTCGCCCACTGTCACATGAGGTATGGTACAGGGGAGCCAGCGCCACTCCATGTCCCTCTCTGTCTCTCTCTCTCTGTCTCTCTCTCTGTCTCTCTCTCTGTCTCTCTCTCTCTCTCTCTCTCCTTCTGTCCTCCTAACTCTGGATCTATGTACCCTTCTCTCAATCACAGTGTCTCCGTCTCATCAGAAGCTGGGGTTGCCTCCAAACCAGCTGCTGCCCTGGGTTTTTTAGCAGCCTCCCTCCATCTCTCCCCATTTCTGTCTGCAGCTGTGTCTGCCCTGGGCTCCGTGTCGGCCTCTGCCCTTCTCCACGCCTCTCTGTCTGTCTGTCTCTCTGTCACTGTCTCTGGGCATCCATCCCCTGAGGCCTGCGACCCACACCCTTTCCAGGTCTGCATCCAGCCCAGGATACTGGGGAGAGGATCTTTAATGGAGTTCCATGTCCAGGAGGCTCCCATCCCTGGCAGGTGGCCCTGTATGACAACAAGAAGTTCCATTGTGCAGGTGTGCTGGTCAACAAGCAGTGGGTGCTCACCGTCGCCCACTGCCACCAGAGGTATGGGACAGGGGAGCCAGCGCCACTCCATGTCTCTCTCTGGGTCCTTCCCTTTCTCTCTCTCTCTCTCTCTCTGGGCTTCTGTCCTCCTAACTCTGGGTCCATGTACCCTTCTCTCAATCACAGTGTCTCCCTCTGAACGTTACTTTTTTTTTTTAAGTGAGTATATTGTGCAAATGGGTAGTGATCTTCTGGTTGATGTGCGTGCCCAGAGGATCAGGGCCACAGAGTCCTTCATCCACCCCTGGTATATCAACGACACCTATTATCATGACATCATGCTGGTGAAGCTAAGCAGCCCGGCCACACTCTCGCCCACTGTGAGGACAATCGACCTACCGTCTAGTTGCAAAGGCCGTGGGACAAGCTGTACTGTGTCTGGCTGGGGCTTCACGACCGGGGATGCAGGTGAGGCTGCTGCTTCGACCCCAGTCACCAAGGTTCCAGCTCCCTTCTTCCTCAGGCCGCAGACACAGGCGCACCGATAATCATGACATCATGCTGGTGAAGCTGAGCAGCCCGGCCACGCTCTCACCCACTGTGAACACAACCGACCTACCGTCCAGCTGCAAAGCCGCTGGGACAAGCTGTACTGTGTCTGGCTGGGGCGTCCCCACCACGGATGGAGGTGAGGTTGCCCCTGCGACCCCAGTCATCAAGGTCCCAGCTCCCTTCTTCCTCAGGCCGCAGACACAGGGGACACACCCAAGGTTACAGACACCCCCACGCCCCAATCACCTTCGTTCTCAGACCGAGGAAGCCAGACCCCTAGGCTCTGCAACGTCAGATCAGGAAGCCTGACCTTTAGACATACCTCTGCCCAGTCCCATAATCCTGCCCCCCCCCCTTACCCAAACACCTCTGAACTCAGACCCAGGAAGCCATACTCCCAGGGCCTGAAATGTCAGATCAGGAAGTCTGACCTTTAGACATACCTCCCCACAGGCCTCCATCCTGTAGATCCAGGAATTTAGAACCCCAGTCACCAACTCACACAGAGCCAAGTGTTTAGGCTCCCAGCCGCTTCCACCCTCAAACCCAGGAGTCTTGGCCTCCAGGCACCTTCTCCCTCAGACGAAAGGAGACCTGGTCCCCAGCCCCCTTCTACCCAGGAGGTGTCCCTCAATGACAGCACCTCTCCATCTCCCTCAGATGAAAGGAGACCTGGTGTCCAGGCCCCCCTCTACCCAGGAGGTATCGAACAATGACAGCATCTCGTCCCTCCCTTGGTAGACGCCGCTAGAGTTGGTGGAGCTGGAATGTGTGGGGGCCAACCTCCTGGCCTGGCCTCAGGAATTAGGGGGAGGTAGAGTGCTGGCATATGGATTTATCTGCATCCGGGTCCCAGATAAGAGCAAATGAGGGGAATGTAACCCCAGAGCTGGGTTCACCTGATCTCCAGGACCCTGAGAGTTGGAGCAGGGCGGGTGAGCTATAAGGTACCACTCTGCACAGTACGTTATATCCCAGGTGTTCAGACACAGGTCCCTTCCTTCCGAAGACCTGGAAGTCCAAGAAATAGGACCCTTTCATAACCATGGTACTGGGTCACCCAGCTCCTCCTCCTTCCATGTCCAGGGTCCCCATTCTTTTACAGCAGCACCCACAGGTCCATAGGACCCAGCCTCTGACTACCCTACCCCCTCCAACATCTGCAGCAGCAACAAACTCATCCGACCTCATGTGCTCGAATGTCAACATCATCTCCTACCGGAAATGCAAGCGGTCGTACTGGATCCTGTTGAAGAAATACATGCTCTGTGCAGCTCCGCCCCCCGACGGGTTCTCAAACAGCTGCAAAGTAAGTCCCCTCCTCCCCTGCCTGGGTTTGGCTGCTTCTCATCCCAGGCCAGTCTCCCCCTCCATCCAGTGTCCAGGTGCCTGACCCTGGTGCTGAGCCTTCCCTCACACCTTTCCAGCCCCACGTTCCTGGCTCTGTCTACTCAGTTCTCTGCCCGGGTCCCGGTGGGAGCCCACGGGGGGCGGGGGGCCTGCATGGCTTTGGGGGCAGGCACAAAGCTGAAGGATAGAAACTGGGGGTGGGAATGGGGCTGGGACTATGGGGAGGGCAGGGAGGCACTGGCTACAAGCACAAGCTTTAAGGGCACACCAAAAGCTCAGTGACCAGGAAATATCATATTCCAATGAAATATTTAAAAAATAATCCATGGGCGAAACCGGTTTGACTCAGTGGATAGAGCGTCGGTCTGCGGACTGAAGGGCCCCAGGTTCGATTCTGGTCAGGGGCATGTACCTTGGTTGCGGGCACATCCCCAGTAGGAGGTGTGCAGGAGGCAGCTGATCACTTTCTCTCTCATCGATGTTTCTACCTCTCTATCTCTTTTTCTTCCTCTCTGTAAAAAAATCAAGAAAATATATTTAAAATAAAATATTCCATGATGAGCAAAGCATCAGAATTTTCAACATAAAAAGCAACTGAATGGGTTGCATTTCCCGTTGGCTTTGGGATTCTATGTGATTCAGAACAGCACTGTAATGAACTGGTCTTTATCTAAAACTGGAATAGCGCCCTAGCCAGTTTGGCTCAGTGGATCCAGCATAGACCTGCGGACTGGAGGGTCCCAGGTTCGATTCCAGTCAAGGGCACATGCCCAGGTAGCAGGCTCAATGCCCATTATGGGGCGTGCAGGAGGCGGCCAATCAATGGTTCTCTCTCATTGATGTTTCTGTCTCTCTCTCTCTCTCCCTTCTTTTCTCAAATAAAGAAAAAATTTTAAAAATAACACAAAAGAAACTGGAAAGCAGGTTGCTCATGGATTTTTTTCATATTGAATTTGATTTTTAAATATGCCTTAAAATGTTTGTTGCAGCCACTGACATGTGCCTGAGGCTCATGCCCTGCTTCTATGTCTGTGTATCTGGTTCTAATTCTGAAGAAAGAAGGAGCCCCTCCTCTTTGTTCTCCCTTTCTCATCTCTGTAGCCTCCTCTCTGACTCTCAGAGCCCTCTCCCTTAATCTCTTCTCACACCTCACTTCTTTTTATTTCTAATATTTTTATTGATTGCAGAGACAAAGGGGGAGGGAGAGAGAAACAATAATGATGAGAGAGAATCATTGATTGGCTACCTCTGCACGCCTCCCACTGGAGATCAAGCTTGCAACCCTGGCATGTGCCCTTGGCCAGAATCAAATCTGGGACCCTTCTGTCCGCAGCCTGATGCTCTATCCAGTGAGCAAAACCGGCTAGGTCCTCACACCTCATTTCATTTTCTGGTTCCCTCTGTGTTCTGTGTTGTGATCTCTCTCTTTCTCTCCCTCTCTCCCTCCCTCCCTCCTTCCCTCTCTCCCTCCCTCCCCCTCTACCTCTCTCTCAGGCCTCTGTCAATTTTTTTTACTTTCTCCATGTCTGCCTCATTCCTTAACCCAATATTCTGCTTGTCTGTCTCCTTCATCCTTCCCTTTCTTCTTCTCTCTGTCCTTCTCTCTCTCTCTCTTTCATCCTTTGCCTCTTTATACCCCCACTATCTTTGCTCACATCTGCACTCTCAGCTTTCAGGGGTGGTGAAATGGTGTGTGTTAGGAAGATAGGTGATGGGACAAGGTGGAATGTCCTAAAAATGGGGGGTTCCCCCTGGTCCCCCACTGAAGACCTGATTCATATTTCGGCAAACTGTGCAGGGACACGCAACCTCATTATGCACAGGATGTTGTCCAACCCACTGAGCTATACTATCTAGGGTGAATAAAACATTTTAAATAACAAATAGAACAGAAATGCCATTGGTCTGCAGAGACAATGAGTCTCTTCCCATTGGCCAGGTGGAAGGCTGTGTTCTGGAAGGATAAAGGCCATATAAGCCTGGTGTCTGTGGGACCTCACTGCTGGTTATTTTGAAACCACAGCTAATCTGCTCTCTCCCCTCCAGGGTGACTCCGGGAGTCCGCTGATATGTGAAGGTTCCCTGCAAGGCCTGGTGTCCTCCGGCTATTTCCCTTGTACCCCGCCCTTTGAGCCAGTGATATACACCCGCCTATGCATGTACCGCAAATGGGTGTATAAAACCATAAAAGCCAATTCCTAATCTTCCATGCTTTCATCCTCCATCCCTATGCCCTGAACAGGGCCTTCCTAGAAATAAAAACATCCCTGACTTGCAGCCATATTTGACTTTATCATTTTCAAAGTCGTATAAAACCGTCAACAACATTCTAACAAAAATTTGCAAAAACCTATGAGCTAAACATAAAATACAAAAACATCAGTGCTGGTGAAGATGCGGGGAGACTCCAGCCATGTTCTCCAGAGGAAGTGGAGCACAATTTTTACGACACAAGTTAGGCAAGCTGAGTCCGGAATCTCATTCATTGCTTTTGACATAGGAATTCTGGTCAATCCAAAACGTGGGCAAGGTTTGAATTCATGACAACATTGTGGGGAGCCGGCACGGCCATGGCATACTCAGCCCAGGGCGCCTTATGTGCCATGCCAGCTCAGCCTGGGTCAGTGACCCTGAGTGGGGGTGGTGAAAGGCTTAGAAAAGACAGACAAGAGAATGAAAGCTGGGTCTCGGTGGGACGCTGCCCTCTCGGGTGGAGAGTGACAGCGTCAGGGCCCATAAGCCGTGTCTTTATTTTATAGCAGATGCCAGGAGGCAATGTAAGGGCATGGTCAAGATGTTTACAACATTCTCATGGGTTTTAATCCCACTCCACTATATGCACCTGGACTCGATCAAGCCCACATCACTCAGGCACGTGGGGCCATGTGTTTGGACCATAGGTTCAAGCTCACAACTACTCCTGTTGGCTATAATTGTGCTGGAAGGGCTCTGCCCTCCAAGCTGAGACTTGCACGTGGCCACGAGATGACTGTGTCCTCTCATCAGTCCAAGTCTTGAACCTGTGCAAAACACTGTAGCTGCACCCGACACATTATCTGTCATAGCAAAAACAGGGGAAATGCTGAACTCTCCCAAATTATTCCATGGCTTATGTCAACAACAAACAGATGTAGGCCAGGAGACTAATGACGCTGTTCAGGATAATAATTATGCAGAACTGTGAGTGTCGTCAGAATGCATATGCTGTCTGTTGTTAAATGCAAAACAAGAAACAAAAATCATATATGTGTGCGATCGTCACCCTGTAAAAAGAAATAGTCACAGAGTAAGAGCATGTACCAAACTGCCTGTGGACGGAGTCCTGGGTGCCTCCTTCCTTCCATGTCCCTTTCTGTGCTTGTGCTCCTCTACAACCTGAACAATATGGTGGGGACCTCCGAGGAGCCAAGGTTGGGATGAGGAGACCTTCTCAGAGGGATACCTTCACAGAGGGAGGTGGGAAAGGAAAATGAAACCAATTTTGGAATCTCACCCTGCCTGCTGCTCCCACTGACACAGTGGCATGTTCCTCTACATTTTCCATCCTTCAGTTTTCCACACTCATAAAATGAGAGAGAGAGAGAGAGGAAGAAGAAGAAGGAGAAGAAGAAGAGGAAGAAGAAGAAGAAGAGGAAGGAGGAGAAGGAGGAGGAAGAAGAGGAAGAGGAGGAGGAGGAGGAGGAGGAGGAAGAGGAGGAGGAAGATGAGGAAGAAGAGGAGGAGGAGGAACACAGAAGAGAAATGCCTACTTCACAAGTGTGCAAAGGGATGTGAAAGTGGTTCTGAGTATGTCACAGGTGACAAACAAGGAGAGAGGGAGAAGGTTTTAAGTAAAGATAGTGCTGGCAAGACACCAGAATCTACCAAGGCCCAACCACAAGTGAGCACCCAGAGTTTGAAGGAAGAGAAAACAGTGGAAGTGGAAAAGGGGTAGTTGAACTCCTATTTTTTCCTTGTTCCTGGAAAGGACCTCCAGAGGAAAGGAGGGAGGAGGGAGGAAGGAGGAGGGAGGAGGCCCCTGTGTCTCAGAGCCTGGCAAGATCAGCAGGTTCCTGGTACCCTGGGCTCCCTGGGCAATCACTACAGACCCTGCTGACTGAGGGTCTTCTCCAACCAGCTGTGATATGCAGTTAGATAGACATGAGCAGAGCAAGGACAACAGGCCGGGCAGAGAAGGTCACATGGGCAGAAAGCCCAGGTGTCTAGCAAGGGGCACAATTGGGAAGACAAGAACCTCACCCCCAAGGACCAGCATATGGCTGGTCATGTAGTTTTCCTCCTTACAGATAACATCTAGGCCTCAGCTATATTTCATTTCCAGGCCCAAAAAAACAGCAAAACTCACACCAGTGATGCCATGGCTAACTCAGGACCCCCTGCCCTGGCACTGACCAATCTGTGGAGACCACGACACTGAAAGAACACACCTGGAAAGCTGATGAATATTTTATTAGGACCCTCCCATGAGACCTCCCTGAAGATTCCCACCTGCAAGAGGGAGATAAGTACCCTCCCTTCTGGGGAGCACACCCCAGACATTCCCTCTCCCATCTTCTTCCCCTACAGGCATGACTCTCCTCAACTCTCCGGCTTCCCATGAGAATTGCAACCAGGGGAGCAATGGGCAGAGGCAGGTGAGCGCCCTAAGCCTGTCTCCAAGCCCCCCTTTGCCCTGATTTCCCAGTGAGCCAGAGCGGCCCAGCCTGGGCTCTCCTGCTGCTTCCATGTCGAACTCTTCCTTATGTCAGTGTCCTGGCTATGCTTTTGCTGTGGCAAACACACCCTTGGCTTGCTGTGGTGCACGTTGTCTCTTGATTGAATTCTTTCCTTCAAGAAGCTAAGACCTCAGGTCTCCTCATCTCCCAGGTCACAGAAAAAATGAAAGCAAATGCTATCCGATTAGGATATCATTGGCAATTTTTTAAAAATATGTATTTTATTGATTTTTCACAGAGAGGAGGGGAGAGGGATAGAGAATTAGAAACATCGATGAGAGAGAAACATCGATCAACTGCTTCCTGCACACCCCCTACTGGGGATGTGACCACAAGCAAGGTACATGCTCTTTACCAGAATCGAACCTGGGAACTTTCAGTCCGCAGGCCGATGCTCTATCCACTGAGCCAAACCAGTGAGAGCTATGAGTCGCTATCCTTATTCAACCACAGGCGAGATGGGGAAATAGACAATGAACAAATGCATGTAAAACAAAACATGATACAGAGTTGAAACAGGAATTTTAGGGGTAAAATAGGACAGGATTAGGAAATTTTAGAAATTTTGGCAATGAAGGGGACCATGGAGGAAGCACAGGGCTGCAGAGAAGCAGAAGGTATATTTCCATAGAATAGGGAAGCTGAAAAGCTGCAACAGGCACATTTCCTGTTGGGAGCTGGGAACAGCAAATGGTCTATATGTACAAAATAAAGGGAAGGAAGCCCTTCATCCAGAGAGAGAAGAAGAAAGCCCAAAGGGAACAGGAAAACAATAAGGAAGGAGGGGGGAGAACCTCACATGTCTCATGTGAGACTCAACCTTTGAGCCCAGGAGTTACTATAGTAACCAGTCTAAGGGAATAGTGACCAATCAGAGGGGATATCAACGCACCAGGATCTACAGGCTTTATAAGCCACAGGGAAAAGGAACTCAGTGGAACCCTTTCCCCCTTTCTACTTGGGAGTCCATTCTGTGGGACTCTCCCTCTCCCCATGTGGGAGTCTGTACTTGTTCTTCAATAAATCTCCACCTTTGCTATACCACTTTTAGTCCATGGATTCATTCTTTGATTCCGACGGACAAAGAATCTGAGTTCCAGTCCAAAAACTCTATTTCAGAGTTAAGTGCTATAATGAAGTATCACAGATGGTAAGAAGAGCTACCCCTGGAGAGAGTGAAAGGTTTGTTGGTGAATTTGGATTCCACATGGAGATTCAGCTCGGAATTAGATTTGGAATTGATGGTTTGCGATCACATTCAAGACTAGGTCTGAAAACGGGACATGACGTTGAGGTCTACCAAAAACGACTCTGGCAGCAGGGGCAACAACAACACAGAAACTTTAAACCGGAAAGGAAACCTGCAGGTGACATGAGATGAAGGGGCTCCATGGAGCATTAACTCACCAGCTCAACAACCTCCTCAAGACACTGCCCATCACCATCACTTTCTCTCTGTTTGTCCATCCGCAGAGCTATGGCTGTATCTTCTGGCCCCTTCCTCCCCAGTTCCAGAAGGGCTGCCTCCCTTCCAGAATTTACACCCAGAGAGGAACCTGCCTAACAGAGTCTAGGAGAACTCTTCTTCTGTCTCACTTTGGGAAGAGGAGAGCAGTTCCCTGAAGTAACACAGGGGTCTTCCCCTCTTCATTGGCCAACATTGTATCACATGTTTATTTATAAACCAATCCCTACTCAGCAGAAATGAGCTTCCGTACTTGGTGCAGTAAAGCTCATTTGTGGTCACAATGAGGAGAGCTGGTTGTCCAAACTAAATCAAGGTTCTGACAAATGGCAGAAGGAGTGCATGCTGGGTAGGAAACAACAGTGTCTATGATGGGTCAACTTGTGGGACCCAGGTAGAATTGGATTAAAGATCTGAACTGAGATAACACATGGACTCACACTAAGGAATGAAGCATATTTGGGGGTCTGAGTTAGAAGTGAGGGTCAATTCCACTGTTAGGAATCAGCCGTCTAGTAGGAATCTGACAATGGTTCCTGTGTTACTCCAGGCAAATGCCAAAGTCCTCCCTCGGTCTTCAATCCCCGTGTCTTCCAAATCCTCTGAGGCCTCTGAACCCATCGCCCACACTTGTCCCTCTGATTCATTCAGCTCCAACAAAAAGTCTTCCCTGTTAGAACATTCTAGGTCTCCCTCCTCTTCTCACCTGCCCGTCACTCTGCCCAGGACTCACTCTTCCCAAGTAGCTACATGAATCCATCTACCATCTCCTACAAGATTTTGTGGGAATGTCCTCTTCACTTGGGGTCTTGCCAACCACCTTTCCCAATATTATAACTGCAGGGGTCACTGAGATCAAAGGGAACCAATACCCCCCTAGGCCTCCTCTGGTATTATTTTCTCCATAGCACTCACTGCCATGTAAAAAAAAAAACAACCTATAAATGTGAAGTTCTTATTTCTTTACTTAAGTCTCCACCCACTGGAATGTGGGGCATTGTGTCGGAATTTCACTGTTTTGT